TTCTGTGACTCCCACGTTAAAAAAAAAAAAAAAAAAACCAGGTCCTACTGTAGGACCTGTGCAACTTTGCATCGATGTTTCTGTGAAGTATGATGGTTGTACACACACACACAAAAAAAAAGTAGGATGGTGTGCGTTGGATTAGTTGATTAGCTGAAATATGATATCACATACCATCACAGCACACGTGCAAGCACGCGTAGATGAAAGAGATATCGCACAGTACAGTGTACAAAAGTACAATAGTACATCAATGATTGAAAAGCCGGTGTGGGGTGGCACCCCTTGAAACGCCGCTGGGTATGGCACCCCGACCGGTTTTGACCGTCGCCACGCAGTCCTCCTCAGGGGGAATACCACGTTCGTCAACCCTCGCAAAGTCCTCACATTCCTCTCACACACCTCTGCTGTCTACCCGCTACTGTCTCTGGAAATGACCAAAGGTTACTTGGCGTAGGACCCGAAAAAGACTGACAAACGCTACAATCATTAGTCCTACAAGTAAACCCGCAGCAGCTATGCCGCGGCAGGGGAAAGGGGGGTAATTGAAGATGGGAATTTCTTATCCGAAAGTGAATCGAGACAGCAGCAGAGTAGGTGGGAGGGCCGCTGGGAAGCCATGGCCCAGCGCGAGGCCCACCCCAGGCACGACCACCATTATCTGGCCTGGGTGACATTGAGGGTGTTTGTTTTACAACACGAGGGACATGCAGCATTGGGGGGGGGGGATATCAGAATTAGTTTATTGTGGTCGCTGCTGGATTCGAGGTCGTGTGTGCAATTCAACAGTTCGTGTGTGCACCAACTGAGCAGCCTGCCAATGTGCAAAATGAGAAGGAACCTTCCACAAGAACATAGGAGAGACACCACGACGGACGGATACATTGAAAAGAAAATCCGGGCGTGAATATGGACTAAGGAGCAGTCAGATGCAAATGTCGGCGCGGGCGCGCGCGCGTGAGAGAGAGAGAGAGAGAGAGAGAGAGAGAGAGAGAGAGAGAGAGAGAGAGAGAGAGAGAGAGAGAGAGAGACAAAGAGATGGAAAAAGAACTTGTAAGTCTCCAACCTCATGGCTGGCCTCACCCTACTTCCATCGACAGGATGCGCAAAATCGAATGAATCTTTCGCCAGAACATGGGAATATATACTGCCAAACTTGTGGATTCAATCCACAAACCCGTCACTAAAAGAAAAACCGTCAATAAAACCGCGCCAACAACAGCCTTTCGCCCGAGTGTTCCACATAATTATTGCATAATCGCGCCGCCCAAACTCAATTCACACAAGCCCGGTGTCGGACCAAATACCCTTACAAGGGTATTTGGCCATGCTTTGCATTCGACACGGTGACGATGTCGGCTACCATGACGGAGTCGATCTGGAATAGAAAGGGTGTGCACGCTTGAGCGCGACACTTGAAACAGTTTCCCCGGCTATTGAAGCCGGGGACAAAAATCGGTGAGAAAATTTCGAAAAGTATACGCGCGCATTGTTATGACGCGCACTGTGATGGTTAGTAGCAGCAGTAATACCCTCCGACCAGAAAGGTTGAGGGGTTGATTGAGTTAATGGTGCGTCGTGTAGACTTATAACACACGCTGAGGCATGGACGGGTACCGGTTTACGTACCGGTACTGGGCCTCTAAAAATGTCAACTTTGCCTTCTTCTACTCGACGACGACTACCCGGCACATCTAGCTCTACTTGGAGTGATACCGACCTACCTACTACTTGAGTGTTTTAGGCGGCTCTTTAGCGCCGCAAAACATCTTTCCCCTCCACTTGAGTGTTGCCGCAACCTTGACGTCAAGGCAACAGGTAAGTACCGGCCTTCGGGCCTACCGGTCAACCAAGTGCCCTTGCGGGCCACACACGTACTCAAGCCGACAGACACTCGGACAGGCACGCCGAATAACAAGTGCTCACGCACAGACTCTGGAAACGGGCTCGGGCCATTGGGCGGACTGAGCCTTACTACCTTACATATATCCAGGGTTGTCGAGCCCCGGCCCCGGGGGTGGGCACCCCCAACCCCGGCTCCAGACCCCCCCCCCCAAAAAA